CTACCTCCCAATGTGTCATTAATTGAGTGTTGTTTACGTCTTCCTAAGGCCATGTCTCTTCCTCTACTGCACTCACAACGAACTATAAATAACGCTAGCTATAGCCTGTTACGTAAAAAGAACAATCGCATTTCGAATAAAAAAAACGCATTCAAATTTCCCGCCGCACGACTTGCCGCATTGACTGACGGGACGTTTGAAAACCACGCCATCTGCCATTTTGTTTCTTTGTTTGGATATTCTAGCGTGTGTGTAGATTTTCGTTCTAGTGTGTGCGTATTTAGCCGCTTTATCGTACGTGAATCATTCATCGACTGTAACTTGTAACACTATCGGTGTATGCTTTGTAAAACTTGCAAGTGGAATATGTTCTCTATTTTTCATGTAATCTACGAGATAGGTACGAGATATGGTAGCCACACAAACGCTAGACGTATGACTGAGAAAATTTATTATGTAACGTTAGAGAAACTAACACATTCACAAATACTACTAAGTAACGTAGTACGTGATGCTCTCTGCTGTCTTCTAGTTTTTTAATACATGATAAGTCTCTGCGACCGCCACGCTTTTATAAATTACAGCACAGATCTAGACGGCCGTATACACACACCGGGTCAAAATGTGTACGTATCAAAATAAAGAGAAATAAATGAAGGTTCTTTCACAAAACAAAACGAAACAAAACTGAGCCGGAAGAAATTTAAAAATTATTAGTTGAACATAAACATATAAATTCGGCCACACTCCGATTTACCAAAGAGATTAAATAACTCCATGGATGCACCGCGGAGGCACGTATGAAACCGTTGTCGGCGGTCGCCCAGGTTCGAGCCGGTAGTGCGGCATCCTTGCACCCGCAGTTTTGACCCGCGTACCAAACTTACGAGCGAGGCACGTACGGAATTTTCCGGCGTCGTATGAAACTGCCCCGCACTCAGACAGGTTCCGTACGCACGGCCGATAATGCGGCAACCTTGCACCCGCAGTTTTGACCCGCGTACCAAACTTACCGAGGCACGTACAAAATTTTCCGGCGGCGTATGCGCCCCGCACTCAGACAGGTTCCGTACGCACGGCCGATAATTTCATACGTTCCAGTGGTTTGCCAAACCGTCGGAAAATTATCGTCCGACGATGATGTACGTGCGGCGAAATATTAGCACAACGCGCCCAAAAATGCGTGTCTACCCGGCTCTTAGTGAGGAAATACACATGCGGGTAAATTTGAGACGCCTTGAGACGCCCCGGTCGATTCGGTGATATGTCTTATCAAAATGGTCCGTTAAAAAAAAATACATCGCTGTTCTCCCGCTCGTTGTGCGTGCCCACGGAAACCTCGTTTATTTTGAGCACGTCTTTGAACTGATTTGGCCGACAGGTCGCTCCGTGCACTTATGTAGTAAAAATGCCCGGCCTTCGGTCGCACATTATACGGTCGCGAAATGCGTGTCTACCCGGCTCTTAGTGAGGAAATACACGTGCGGGTAAATTTGGGACGCCTCGAGGAAATGCACGCAACGGTAGTTAGTCAGGCTCGGTCCGGCATTACGGCGTTCTGCCCTCCACTTTTGCGCCCACAACATGCGTGTTTACTCGGTTTGTAGTGAGGAATTCCACGGGCGTGCAAGGTCAGCGCAGCGCGAGGACATACACGCGTGCGAACTCAGCACAGCGCGAGGATCGGCACGCGTGCAAACAGTCGCGGAAATGAGTATCGGCACGCGTGCAAACCGACGTAAGTTGAGTAACCTCACGTCGTGCAAGCCCTCATATTCGGGTCCCAGTATATACCTGAATAGTTTTGAAAAGTTTGAATAACAATTTCAGTATCTGCCTTTACCGTTACTTAAATGGAGAAACCAACATCGTTTTGTTTCACGAGTAGCCATTAAAGAGACGTTCTGTAACGAAGTTAAAGTTGTTAAGAAAGCCGCGTAAGAAATTTATCTAAGGAATCTTATTACTTGGTACCTTCCCACTCTACCTACAGGTCATTACATCTTCGTCGAGGCGTCCAGTCAGGACAGGAGTGACCTGGGCACCCTGGTCAGCCCGGAAATACCTGCGTCCACTTCCGGTTACTGCGTCACCTTCTGGTACCACATGTACGGTCGGGACACGGGCTTCCTGCGCATGCGCACCGTGGACCGGGCCGGGACTGACCAGCTGGTGTTCGAGCTGATCGGAGAACAGGGAGACCTGTGGAAACGGGCGGACGTGTTCGTCAACCCTGGCACAGACTTCAGGGTCAGATATCATATCATATCATATCATATCATATCATATATCATATCACATACCATATATCATACCATATATCATATCATATATCATATCATACCAATTCTTATGATATGATATCACATGATACGATACGGTATCATATCATATATCATATCAAATCATATCATATCTGCACTTAGAAGTTGAAATGGAAGGGAGGAATCACCAATGGAATCACCAATGGGTATCCAATCACAGGAACCTTACGTTATTACCTTAACCCTCCCCCTCCCCTCCTAACTCATTAAAAGGAGAAGCTATCGGTAACTGAGTGTTTTGATTTCAATAATGACTAGACTTTATCGCTGAAATAATGGACGGTGGGAAGTTGAAAACGACTAACTGCTCTGGAGATATATCTACTTCCCTGTAAGGTAGTACAGATTTAATCAAATACAACTAAATGAGAACAAACATACAAATGTGGTACTTTCTGACCTTCTGCCTTAATATTCTTCTCTATTGATTTCCCACAGCTCCACTTCCAGGACTACATCGGTTGTTACGCCTACAGTGACATCGGCTTGGACGACATTGAATGGCGGGCCGGGCGCTGTGATGTTGTGTAACGTGTCGCTTCAGATCCAGGCTGTATGTAGTCTGGTAAATCATAAAGGGGTCATAATCCTGAATAAAGCGTCTTGCTTTGATCAAATGTTTTGCTTTGTGTATGGAGACGTTTATATTACCTTAGAAAAAAGTTTGTATAAATTCGGCAGTGTAGACTGTTTTCATTCCCAATTTCAATTGCAAGTTCTTGCTTTGGCCAAGGTTTCTTTTGATAATTTGCAAGAGATACGAGTAGTATACCGTGTTATTATACGGATAACATTTTACATCCCAGCTGTTTTCCCTAGGAAAACCCTGCAGTGCATATGTTCACCTGTATTAACGAACCGGTAGAATCGCCCTTCAACATGACATACTCGTGTCAACTACGCTGGCAAGTAGCCGACTTGTCCTATCCTATCACATCGAATCACATGTCACACTTTCAAGTGTACCAAATCTACACCGTCTGTCCAAGTTGAATCAGTCAGTGTTACATTACATAGTTGGCTGGTGTGAGGGAGTGTAACTTCTCCATTGACAGGAAGTACTTGTCCCTGTAACACCGGTCATAAGAACGGGGACACATAGAAACCGCCCCAGTTACGATCCCGGATGGTTCCGGCTGATTTTTACGTCCGTGATAATCAAATGACTGGCAACATAAGGCTGATGGTGGTAAGGCTCATCAAACAATTCAACTTCAGCCTTGGGGATCGTCCTGAAATCATAATATTACATGAAGACGTGATATGAATAATCATGTCTAAGGTTGAGACTATAGAATGTCTCCTGTAGCAAGTGTATTGATGCGCACATCTGGAAAACATATATAATGTGGTTAGCCTTGACTTCGGTATGTACCCGTCTTAAGAACGATAAAAAGGGAGCCTTCTCCATATCACTGCACATTTTACCCTGCGGACGACAAGGAAGCATGCCATAGCATCAATGGGTGATTCCAATGAAATAAACCTGTGCACAATGGGGTTTATCTAATCTATCCTTGCTTCCGCACGTCCTGTCTCTAACGGGGCCCTGGAGGATCGTGCGCCGCATATCTCTGTATGTCCGCTGACATTTGGCCCGTTCTAGTTCCATTGGTGTCCGCCGGCAAGGGATTCTCTTTCTCTAGCCCTTCCTGTTTTGCTTGAACCTTGACCTTCACTCTCAGCATTGCCGGTGACTGCCTTGCGTTTACGTTACCAGCCGAACCCTGTCGTAACAAAAATGACCCCCGGAATCCCGCCCATGTATTTGCCCGCAGCACGGCGGAGCTGAGCTGACCGGAGTGATGAAGAGGGTGACGCCGTGGAAGTCCGTCATGAGGAAGCGGTACCTGCTCCTAGTCCTGGTCAGCGCGACGGCTCTCGCCACGGCGATCTATATCTACCTGGTTCGTAGCCTCTGTGTAATAGCCGTGGGTAACACAGCCTTGGTGTGCCGTCTTGTGTCTGACTGTGATTGCGATGTTGCGTGCGTGTCCGGGCGCGGGGTGGGATGTTTTATATCGCAGACATAACCAATTACTCCCCTCGCACTCAGGCCTCCAGTGGCCTTGAAATAATCATGCTGCACGGGGCAATGTTGAAGTCCAAATTGGATTATTCACATCCGCCGGTAGTGTGGTGCAGGTCGCGGTGTGTAGTGCGTCTTGGGGCCCAGATAGGGGAAGTCGGTAGTACCGAGACCAAGGAAAGAGGTGCATGTGATGTAGGGGTATCCACGTTTTGCCTGGATATATACATGTAAATCGACACAGATGCTCTAAAAGCGGGCTGGTACGTGTGTTATTCCGTTGGGGTCGGTCTGATAAAGTAAAGTAATATAGAGGGGCGTAGTTGTTTTCTGAAAACTTGCTACACTTGCAGGTGGAATTTGTTGTTGACGGTTGCAATCTTCACACTCTCGTCTGCGTGAAAACACACCTTCGTAATAAATTAAAATAACTAATGCTTTGTTAATTCTGCACAAAAAGATATATAGTGCCTAAAGTCGTGTGTTTGCATAACGTTACGCCTTTATATGTGCAGTATGTCTTTAATATACAGCCGAACCAATAAAACCAATTAATCAAATTAAACTGTCTCCAACTCCTGTATCCTTCACACCCATGTAAATGATAAGCTAGTGTGTCGAAGCCATGCAGCGTCATTATAAAAAACAAAAACACTTCAAAGGTTCATGATACCGTCGCCCCAGTCACTAAATCCAAATTCCCAGAAGGCTCAGTTGTGAAAATGTCATTAAACCAGTTGTTGCTATATTCGGCAGATTTAATCTTCTCCTCACGTTGTTTCAGAATGTCAACCTCAGCAAGATGGTGGCCTGGAGCCTCCTGATCAGAGCGGATCGTTACTTTCTGGTCTCCACCAATCAGCAGCAGCTCCCGGCGTTACGTCACCTGACTGTGCCATGGCGGAGATGGAACGGTCTCATTGACTATGACCTTGTAACCAGCGCTGCACAGACCAAGTTGATATTCCCTAATTTCAAAGCCATATATGCAAAAGGCGACATACTCAGAATGAAAATCGTGGCGCTAGATAGAAGAGGTCGGCGTAAGCGTTATGGTGGAGACTTCTTCCGAGCTAAGTTGGTCTCCAAAGACTCCGTGAACGCCAGCACAGCCGGCAAGATCACGGACCACGGGGACGGCACGTACACCGTACAGTTCGTGCTTGCCTGGGCGGGGACAGTACAGGTCCACACACAGCTAGTCCACCCTAGCGAGGCGGTAGAAGTGATCAAGCAAATCAGAGACACTATACCAAACAGGAGAGTATTCTTCTGCCATTTTCAGGACCAGAGAACAGAACGCCCGGGAGAATGGACGCCCTGCACGGGACAGAGAAACACCAGCCTCCCGAGAAAAATGCTCTGCGACTTTTCCAAGAAGTCAGTGAACGCTACGTGGCATTGCGAACGCCCCAAGCACTACCCCTGTAGTGCCATACATGTCTGCAAGTTCGACTACAATAGGACCAAGCGACTGGTGGAATCTTTGATAAGTGGGGACGAAAAGAGACTGTTTTCCAGGTGAGATAGAAGACAGAAATTGTACGTCTCAAGGCAGGTCCTCCAATTACACTTCCATGGGATACTTATGACAATAATGCCCGGGTCCCGTGGAATTAAGTGTAATATCTTCATCACTAAATTTTCACAAGGTCTCCACTTAGAAGAAATCTCTTTCCATATTGCTTTTTAATGCTATAGGTTGTAATGCCGTATTTCCGTGACATTGCCTTTCAAACCATTCTCAAACTTCATTTCTGTTATTGCAGGCTGCTTTTGAAGAGAGACATGAGGAGGAGCACACTTATCCGTGTTGTGGACAGAGGTGGGAGACAAACAGATCTCAACGTCAAATAGAAATTCTCTTTCACCCAGTCACAAACCGAAACAGCAACAGCTTCTAGTGCATATATGTAGATACTCCATGTTGTTTGGCCTACGAACTCGTGAACCGCTAACGTTGTTTCTTGTTTTCTCAGGCATAGAGTCAGAGGTTCTGCCGCGGTGTGGCCCGTGCCTTGCCCAGACGCCGTCGGAAGGGTACTGGTACAACAGGCTCTGGTACTCTCTGTCATGCCGGGCCAGGCACTTCCTCCAGACGGGAGACGTTCTACAATGTCTTAGAAACAAGACCGTCTTCATGCAAGGGGACTCGACCATGCGACAATGGTACTTTCGACTGGTGGACCGCATATCTGCACAGTCGGAAGAGATCACCAAGTCGCAGGAGTTCATCGGACCATTCGCCGCCATCGACAACGCCAGCAACATCCGCCTGCATTTCCGTTTTCACGGCGAACCCATACAGAAAAAGATCAACATCAGTTTCAGAAACATTCACTACGTTGCTGATGAACTTGACCAGTTGGCCGGTGGTCCCGATGTGGTTGTGATTCTCGGATTGTGGGCACATTTTGTAGCTGAACCTCTGGTAGCCTTCCGTGCCCGTCTCTATGCCATCAGCCACGCCATCAAGCGGTTAATTCACCGCTCTCCCTACACAAAAGTCATCATCAGGACTAGCAACACACGGAGACACGATAAGCTGTTCATAAGCGTTCAGTCCAGTGATTGGTTGGCTCAGGAGTTGAATGTGGTGATACGGGACATATTTGGGAGGCATGAGTCGGTCGCCATATTGGATGTATGGGAGATGACGTTGTGCCAAGAGTACCCGGATGACGCTCATCCTAACGTTCACGTAGTTGACAGTGAACTCAGCCTGTTATTATCTTACATCTGCCCATCATGATACAGTGTGTGTCTGTCGGTAGCATCCCTTGGCTTTGATGTACCTCTTTTTGAATGTGCCAAACACAACAACATATCGTTTAGATCAGCAGTAAGGAGAATGTTTACGGTACAATGAAACCTGCGATTAGATTAGATAAGATGTGAAGACGTCAGATCTCTTATCCGATATCTACCGAACCTGTCACCACAAATAGTAATTAGGGAAAGTGATGAGACGTAGAAGATGTAAAAGGATATCAAGTGTATCTAGTGAAATCTAACTTACAAATGTACATTTTCACATGTTAGTGTACGGCACATACAGAATGTGAAGCGCATGTTTCCTTCGCATGTACCCGCGGGGTGTTGTCCTTTGGTCTCGCTCTCTTTCTCTTTTATTTCGTAAATATCGTCCTCCCTTCCTGCATTCCCTCCTTCTCTATTTCATTCTTTTCTTTTCTTTCTTCTTCCCAAAGAATAATTCCAAACTATATTGTTCTGTCCGATCATTTTTTTCTAGAGTTTAAGGAAAACCCGAAGAAAGGCAACAAATATTTGTTCGTATCTAGTCCAATCATGCGATTCATGGTGGGAGGTTGACAAAATTTTGTTCTCTTGTGTTCCGTTGTATTCGTACTGTCTGTCAGGACGTATTACAATAAACAGTGGTGTTAACGTTGACCACTTATACGTGAATATGTCGTTTTTGTTCGGGTTTAATGTGTGCACTGGATTACTTCATAGTCCAATATAATGATCATGACAAACAAATGAATGCCATCATCTCTACATAAAATAATGTAAAGAATATTAATGCTGAAAAGCGTGTTAAACAGAACTGTACAAAGCCTCCCACAGACAAATTAGTACAGTCTGCGGAGTGTGAACATCCGCCAGCGGGCAATGTCCTTGGTGCTGAAATGGGAGGTCCCTCAAGGCGGACGTGCAGGGAGCCGCGGAGACGGCGTCGTGTGATGCGGGGAAAACGTTATAGCTCACCCCCTTTTAGGGTGCATATAGTCCCCGTCATTCTTTTTTTGCCTTGGAATTTGACACGGAATACATCCGATGGTAACAGCAATACTGTAAAGCTTTGGCTCTGGGATATTAAAAAAACCAACCATGCAGTAATGACACAGACCCCTTTACTGGTGTGCTGACATTTATTTCATATTTACCGTACAGCATTGCCTCACGTCATCACCGTGTTTTCTTACAAACATTCAAATAATGTATTAATTGTTCCTTTGTGGTCACTTTTGAGATAATGATATCAAGGGGTATAGCGGCGATTCTCACCAGCGATAGACAAGATACCGAAAGTAGAAAACAATACAAAACTGTGTCGGAAACAGTAGAACATCTGAGTCATTACTGTTCTTATGACCTCAGTCCAATGTCCGACCCACAGCCGACTGCCGCTTGCTGGGTGCGTGTAGTAGTGGTGCTTGTGAAGAATTCAACACGTTGATATATTGTTGTAAGATGCCGCCGTGTTGGTACTTGCTGTCTTTATGCTGTCTTTCCATGGGAAGGAATACATGCTTGTTCTCACGTCCAGCCTCAGCGGCAGCCCAGCCCGTACTGTCATCACAGTCCTCAGCTCGGTAAGATAGCAATGACATGGATGCTCCCCACCCCTGCCTCCAACCCACTCGATTAAATGGTTCTGATATTAAGGCAATTGGGATTATCATAGTAGGCATGCATTTCTTCTTGATAGTCTATAATTCATTGTGATATTGTGGTATAATCTGTGAACAGCTAAGAATATCTACCATGTATGTATATCGTTGTATCAAAGTGCTTATTTTACAGAGCCATTAGAGCGCCCATCACTATTAATTCCAGCTATCGTATCTGTAGTACGCTAGAGTATTATGCTGTATAGTTTTCAATAAATCATGGCTCGGAAGACTGTTGCCTTTTCGGCAGTGATGAGCGCAGGACGCGACAAACTAAGGTCTTGTGTAACCTCCCTTCCACCCCTGTCCTCCACTGTCTCTCCAACATATCACGCTATATTATTCTACTGATCAGCGACTATTTTTAGCGAAAGATCAGTTCTCAGACATCTGCTATCATTTGTTATCCATTTGTTTCCTCAGAATCTGTAACCGTTAGTTTGTGCTGACTTGCCATTTTAACCATTCGCTGTGTCTACTAATTCAGATACTCCTTCGTGGCAGCACCGTTTTTAATAGTCTTTTGACATGGGGTCAAATCAATCATGCATGAGTTTCATCTTGAGAATCGGTGGAAGGGAGGCCACACAAAGTGCTGGCCCCTTTATAATTCATGAGTCATTGATATACACAATACCCTTGCCTGTGAAGATAGGCATGGAGATGAAAATTCATCGATTCTGCGTCAAACCAGGACATTCTCTACGTCACGTCAGGGACCTGACTGCTCTGGGCACGAGAGCTGACCCTAATTAATTCTCCCGTACCAAGATCCGGGAAACTGAAAACAAAGTTAGTCCTCTATGCTGTGTTTGATATGTGTATCAGCATATCAGTCTTAAAAGTGGAAAAATAACTCAAGGCATATTTATTTTCAGTCAGTTTCGCGTCCTTCCTTTGCGTTTGCCATTCGGTGCCATTTCTATAAAAGTCTCACAATAGTTGATGTAGCTGATCATTGTAAACAAAGTACGCATTTCATTGTCGATTCTCGCTCAGGATATAGGAATAGTCTTGGGTAAATATAGTGCACACCACAGGTCCACAAGTTCGGTGCAGCTGACGTCATCTCACACAGAAGTGCAGTAAGAAAAACTGGTGCGGGAGGTGCTCGTTCAAAGACTGAAGCCACCCAAATACAGGACACGGGAGGACGTATATTTGGATTGACCGTCACTTTACAAGGATCCAGCACAACACCACACTCCGAGTCCATCTCGTCTTCACACACACACACGCACACACGGGGTGCGCTTCAATATGATACTGTTCTTCTTTGATATAGAGTCGGTGTTTGATTGAGACTCTGTTCCATCTCCGTACATCTTACGAGTTGGTTTTATCCGCCTCGTTGTTGTAGGGCGGCGGTTCCTCGGCTCCCTCCCCGGGGTTGTCTTTGGGGCCGTCATCGGGTGGCTGAGAGGCCGCTGGAGCCGCGGGGTTGTCAGCATAAGGCACCTCTCCATCTGGTGCTTTGTTACTGCAGATAGAGAGAGAGAAAACAGGATTACTTTTCAATCATTCGTTCATAATCCTTTAACATGACACGGTTTTCCCATCACCCACCCCCAGCCGGCCATACATCAACCATAGCCGACCCCGTTACGCTGGGTACGCGGACGTACTATTCATCTAGCTAAGCTACTGAGATTCTTCACGTACGTCTCGAGAAAATCGAAACTACTGGCCTACTTCCATAATATTCCATTACACACCAGGGAGCTCGATATCATTCTCATTCATATTCTGGGCATGCCTGCCTTTCAACTCAGCAGGTGAAAGGGGCCGAGTGTGGATTCAACCCTCTTTCTTCCCTCCAGTATACCCGCACCTCAGGCCGGTATATAGCACAAAACATGTTCGTTCTTTTCATTTCTGTCCAATGAGTCTATTGCTTCCAGCAACATGGCATGATTAATGCCTTCAGATATGGAATAATGTAAAAATCAGATAAAGGGGAGATTATACAGCTGAGATATCAAAGATGAGCATCTCATTCGTCGGCTTTTCGTGGAATATTAGTGAAAGGAAGAGCATATGAATTATATACTTGTCTCTTACGAATAGAGAATATGAGTTATATACTTGTCTCTTACGAATAATGCATTAGGAACGTGTATGTTTACGACAGCTTAAGTATGTTATTGTACAGGAAAGAGCGAACAAATCCCCAGTGAGACATGTCAGTTGTGACATGTCGCCAGTGGTGCTGACAGATTCGGCTGATAAGGAAGGTGCCGCATTATGACATTTCTCCCAGGAACGTAACGTGACTAGAGATCTGAGAGGCATGCAGACGGATACACTGTTTATCTGTATGGTAAATCTCGGCCATAAATCCCGGCTTGTTTCCCTGAACTTTTGTCCTTTAACAAGTTGATGTATTTGTTGAAGGTAGCCCACGGAACGCGCCATTTTATGGCGTGTAGCATTTGAATTTTACGGCGCAATATTCTTTATGTTACGGTTTTCATTCTCGCACGCCGTCGTGAATTAGAAATAAATCGTCATAACCTGTCATCAGCGTATATCTACACCCGGCATTTCAGAGGTAATTCGACAAAAATGATATCCCAGATGAGATAAAGATGACAGCGTAACAAAATTATATATGCGCCAATCGTCAGAGAGTGAAAATTCATACGTGCGAAACAGCATGAGAAATACGGTAAAATGACATTTTCTACACAATTGAGCTGCAAAACCCCCCTTTCTATGTAGGGCCTCCGTAATTGGAAATCGATCCCCGCTGGAAGTCAGATCAGTCTTCGATCAGCAGTGGTCTTGGAGCAGATCAATATCGGTACCAATCCCCGCGCCTTGTGCATCGCTTTAAGGGTACCTCGCTGCAAATCCCGGTCCTTCCGAACTTTCAACCTCGGACTCCTACATTCTACTGATTACTAGCATACATCTCAGCCGTGGCTTTTTAGCAGTCGTCAGAGCTATAGCAGGGAGCGGGGGCAATCAGTGATTTGTTTATTACGCCGCTCTATAGACAGCAAACTGGCAATAACATACATTGTTAATGTCCTAATGTAAAGCTGCTCTTTTCGGGGCCAATCAGGAGAAAAGAGTGAATATAACGCCTCCCAACTTGATGACTACATCCAGGCTGACAGGGAAGCCGGTGTGTGAGAGTGGTAACAATCATGGCGCGTATCTGTACAATTAATCAGGGACAGGAGAGTCCCCGGGCCGTAACTCACCCGCCGCACGGCACGGGCGTTATGAGAACCTGGGTAGCCGGGGTTCGATTGGACCCCACGGGAATCGTTAGCAACGCCTAAATATTGCATGACATACGTGCACGGAAAACCCAATGGACACTTCAGCTAGGGGCCGCTACATTTACGTCATAGAACCCAACCAAACCCAGGTGAAAATCCCCCATAACAAAGTAGATCCAAGTCCAACTGCGTGTATAATCATTACTGAAAACTGCGTGTATAATCATTACTGAAAAAAATCGTGTTCAATCAGAAAAATCAGCTACTTTATTAGCATTAGAAATGGATAAGTAGCCTGCGTGGGCACCAGCCAACTTGGATGAACATGATTGAAGTATCTGACATTTCGGAAGGCAATAAACATAGGCAGTAACATTAGCTGGAGATAGCTCATACGGAGGCTTTTAAAGGTAAGCCTTAGTAAGTGGGGGTACTCCAACAACACGGGGGGTCGCGTAAAAGCACAACAATCATCCGCACGAACCTGAATATCTTACAGAATATGACTTGTTAAAGACGGCTCATTGTGGACTCATATGTTACGTTATCTATCTACATCATGTGTAATCTTGAATATATCGTCTGTCTCTCAGAAGAGTTGATTGTTGAATAGGCCCTTAATTTGTAGGCCTATTGTGCACTGACGTTCACATTTGACTCCCTGGTAGGGTATGATACATTTCGGTTAGAGTCGGACGTAATAGACGGGATTTTATTGCCATATTCATGGCTTTGGATGGATACGTTCCGACGGGCGTGCTCCTTTAGTGTACCACTTGTTGTTGTTGTACATGTGGAGCACGTACGGCCGGTACCGGGACACGTCCATCAGCCGCCGGGCGGGGCAGTTACAGCGGCCCGCTCCGTACGGGGGAGATTTGGCCACATCCAATTAACTCGCCAGGAGAAAGCCTGATTGGGACCAACTCAGCGGCAGGATTTTCCCCTTGTGGTACTTTAGCGCCGCTTTTTGGGGGAAGAATTGCCGGCAAATCCTTAAATTGATTAGTACTGCTGCGACGCTGTTTGAGGTTTTTATTGTTCTGGAGGACGAGTCTTTCCGAAAATCCTTTTAAGATCGCGGGGCATGTACAGACGACAACTTCAAGTTTAACAGCCTTGGTTGTTACATTGTTTATTACCAAAATGATATAAAGGGGGTACTTTGGGTCATTAAGGCGTATATGAACGCAGAAGTGGCAGTTACTACAACGCAGGGGTTTTTACCAATTCACGCAATTTGGATAACTGCCTAATTGCAACAAACTGTCCCCCAAACGCATCAACCAACAGCGCATGGCAATTTCAATGTCGCATTATACGCCAACTAAAGCTCCGCGGGTGAAAGAGAAGACCGAAATGCCATAAAGTTGTGCTATTATTCACCATTACTAAATCACTCTTCCGCCTCTACAACTTTTATTAAATCCCCCCTGATGGCCTCAACTCTTGAGGAACCGTCTTGAGCCATTTGCAAAGCCCGGTGGTGCAGGAGTTCAGTATGCGTGCGTTCTACCTTCCGAGGCATGGGGCGTGCGGGGGTCAGATTAACCCAGCACCGCCTCTCCTACTGCTGACCCAGGTTACATGCCCTCATGCCACAGTCACGGAAGATGGACGTCTTAATGGCAGGCCATTGTCATTGTGTGCTGCGGCAGGTGATGGCTCACAGACGACCCGCATAAAAAAACAACACTTAGCGCTCCCGCCGTTATCAATTTGACGCACACAATATCGCTTTGGTGAATCATAATGTAAACATGAACATCTCCCGCTGGAATTCTGCGCTGACAATTTGAATTGAAGCTTTGGAAATGGACGGGATGCCTTACAGCTCCCCTGATGCAGTAAGGTTTGATAGATAAGCTGGCGTTGGATCGAGGAGTGGGGCGCTGCGGGCTATTTACGTACCGTACCAGCAAAGTAACAACTCGTAAATACGTACTGTTGGTCGTGAGGAGAATTCTAACTTGAGTATAAAACGATACTGAATCACAACCACACCACAGAGGCAGGGAACCAGATGGTTGTTTTATAACGTCTCTGTTTATCGTCCATCGTATGTGATATATGAAGCATGATTGTGAAGCATGAAGCAAAATGTAACGTTAAGGACCATGAATTCGTAATGTGTCGACTTTTCTATCACCGTCTACGCAGATATGATAGTTGAACTCCCACGTTAACATAACGGTATGTGCTGTACAAATTTACCAGAGGACCAGTTCTATTTACTGTCTCTCAACCCGCCCAGCCTGATACATATGGGTGGTACATGTTACGTCATACAAAATTGGATGTGGTCATCCCTTAAGATCAATTGTAAGCAAATAAAACTGTCGGCCTTAATGACGGATGAAGGACTGCAGGGCACGGATGGGATTTCCTCGGGCCATCTTTCATTTGATTTGAAAAAGTACATCACTGAATAATTCAGAAGGCGTCTTGGGTCCACCGTTCCGAGGAGCGCCTTTAAGACGGATCAGTAGAAAGGCCGGGGACGGAAAATTGTCAGACTCTGCCACAGCGCTGGCGACTTTCCGGATTACACAACGTCTACAGGGACATATGTATCATAGTAATATAATCTCACTATCTAAGGTTTCGTGTGGGTCAGTAGATCGATATTCAAAAGAGGTTACGTCAGTTCAATGCAGCCCAGCCGGAGGCTCCACTCTTAAAATCGCATTAAGGGAATATCGGTATAGATGCCGCCGGTTATTAAAATCTGCGATACATATTCACATTCCATGCCCGCGCAGCCGGGAAAATCGATAAGGGACATAAAATGCAGACAGAAAACAGAGACGGGTATGGGGAGGAAGCCATATAGATCCATCCGTGATGGCTGGCACACAAAACGAACTCTGGTTAAATCTCGTTACCATTACGGGGGATCCCGATACTACATTGGAAATTATAGGTCTGTTTTTTTTCTTTCCAAATATAGAATTCGATAACATTTGTCAAAGTTCATTAACCCTTCCCTTCCCCTTCTGAAATGTAGTGGGGTTTATTTTCAAAATTATTTTGTCTGTCTTCAGTCAGGTATGCAATCGCCGAAGGCCTCCCAGTCCTAACAATTGGTTGGTATTGTCAACGAAGATTATTACAATATTGGTGACATTTTTAATACAACGAGCTACTAGTTCTACGTACATTTCCTATTAGAATGATACACGACAAGGTAACACTGTCAAACTGGAAATATCATATCTTAAAAACATCTGTCGACTAAACCCATGTTACTAAAAGCCACAGTTATGTGTGTCGGATAGAATGCTGTGTGTGACGTACATCACAGGAAACCATTCATCATGTTGCTGTGTATATGGGATTATGTAGCGTGTTAATATGATTAGTTGGCACCATGAAATCTCCAAATGTGCTTTGCCGTAGAAAAACTACTGAAGAAAATTGTGCCATTTCCCAAAGCGTGCCTCATCTTCTTCAGCTCCTAAGCTGAGCACACATGCACACACTGCATAGAGTTGTAAATACACAGGGAAGTGGGCTGAATGATGAAGCCAGCCAGCAAACTAACGTGCACGTCACGGCCTTCGACATAATTTGTGCTTGAGCCGCATGTCCGTGGTCGATACCGGTAGGATTTACATCGCCACTTCCACTATTCTATGGACTCAGAGGCTAATAGCCAAGATTTCATTTGGACGTCTGCAGCCAACTGGGATAAGTTACTTCAGTGCTCGGGTTGGGAAGTTCAGGGGTGTACGTGTCTGCTAGCATGTGTATGTGTGCGTGTGTGTGTACGTGCGTGTCCCATATGAGAAAATCCTTTAAAAAGTTCTCTAGAAAGTACCCTTTCAAGGAGACTGGGTCCTTGGGGTTACCACCTTCGAACTTATCTTCCTATCTGCGTGCGGATCAGGTCGGAAATCGGCTTATGCATAAAAATGATCGATCCTCTTTTCCTCGATAATGCGGGGTTCGGTGTTGTTCTGCGTTGTTTTGTGTAGGTAAATGTCGTGTTGCTGAACGAAATCACACGAACTGTAGCATGTGTAAAGTCTACAGACAAACAAAACAAAACAAAACAAAACAAAACAAAACAAAACAACATTTTCAGTACATTCAGAAATGCCAAGATATAATTAAAAGAGTGTTGGTATGGCCCATATCAGCATGCACTAAGCTAGTTAGCTTTGCTTATTAAGTCACACGAGGACCAAATATTTGAACCTGAATATTTTGTATTGTGAAGGACGATTTGGAGTTAATTGAGGTTGTTTTATATCAGTCTGTTTTACACAATATAGAAACTTTCATCAGCAGCACACGTTACACGCTGGAACAATGTTGAGTACACAATCACACACAGCTAGCTGTAGGTTAAGTCTTTTCTAAGGGAATGTAGCAGAAATCTTCCTCAGTGGTGTTCCTTGTCCCAAGGGGCATCGTTCTGCAGGTTAGTACTGCAATACCAATCGTACCGTAAGGAGGCGCCTTGTTTTCAGCGCAGAAAGTTTATTGCTACGAACTGAGCTATAGATGAGAACATTCTATCTTGTGTTTATGAAGATAGATACAGATAGATACACACCTGGCTGGGCTGGGGTCAGGCATGTGGCTGTTTGGGTCAGCGATGATGACGTCATCAGGGTTGGCGGGTTCGGAAGGCTTGTCTCCCGGGGAGACCCGGACCAGGGGCACGGCCTGCTCCGCTGCCGGGGACTGGGGCGACCCGTTGGGCTGTCCGGCGCCGTCCTCCTCGTCGTTCGGGGCGTTAACGTTCGCCCTATTTCTACGCTCCTTCCGGCACCAGGCGATACCGGTGGACAACAGTACCAGACCTATCAAGATCATGAGCGGTCCGGTGATGACGGTGGGGAAGAACCCAGGCTTATTCTTTAGAGTAATGGCAACACCAATAAAACTTCCTCCGACTGCCAGGAACAGGAACCCGCCAACGATGGGGCAAATCACGTAGCAAGGCACTCCACAGGCCGCCCATTGGGGTACTTTCCGGTACTCTAAGCTCACCTTGGAGTTGCGCCTCCGTCTGCGGAAGAGCGAGCGGCGCTGCGGATGCCCGGGCACGTCCAGGTGCTGGGCGGACCCTCGGTGGGAGCCGCGGCGGGACGGCGGCTTGTGCGGACTGTCCAGGTGGTCCTCTTGCTGCTCGGCCATGGCGACTGCGAGGTTTGGTCTCACGGAAACGGTAACAGCAACTACTGAAGCACAACAGAACAGTCTAGAACCAGCTGAAGTAGCAGTTGATCGATGCTACTCCAGGATGAGCTACAGGGGATTCTAAGACACACCTCCAAGTATTTCTACTGTCTCAAGCTAAGAATCTTCACAACCCTCTACTTTGTTGTCGCCATGGTCCTGTCACAGGTGTCGAATCGAGCTGCCATGAGACCATACATCGCTCCGGAGTGCCTCCTGCCTAAGCTCACCTCCGTTCGCACGCACCGCTGTCGCAACTGCAACGGCCTCGCACAGATTTCCCGTCACCGCCCTCGTTGTTGAGGGATGTTCCATTTTACCACATGGGGGGTTGTTTACCTGGCTACGAACCTATGAGAATTATATCAGAAATCTAAATTGAACTTTGATATATTTCTTGCAGACTAGATATAATCGTTTCCAATGGAGCAATTAGTTTTGATTGCAATATATTATACATAATGCACAGTGTGTTCTAGCTCTGTATTCACGAATGGATTTTTGTGTCAACGAAACTGAACGGTTATTAAGAAATGTGTAGTTTTTATCAGCTCAGAATTTACTCTTGCATGCAATTTTGTGGGAAACATAAATACAGTCCGGTGGGAACGTTATATTGCGTAATTACAACGCATTTGTGAGAAAAAAGCAACCTCGGAGGGACCCGTATGATGCTATTTTGCCCTGATGATCTCCCCTGGGTCCATAGCACAAAGACTATTACCTCTTTATCTAGACAATTTGCCGCCTTCCGCGCGCCCACTTTGCGTGTATCAACCGCGGGAGGAACCCCGCCCCTTGTCTCTCCCTCCTCCCGGCCACTCGATAAATCACGCCATCACGACTTCCAGAATATTCCACATGTCGTAAACACAAGGGAAAAATACGGTTCCATTTCTCTGAAATCCTTCCGGGGAAGGTGATACACCTTAGAAAAGATGAATTATTCCTGGGTAGAATGTGCCGTCAGCCCGCATTATGCAGACATGGGGTACAGCAAGGTTTGGTGCGATTGATCCCGCAGTAACGGGGCCCTGGGTTGGTTCCAGAGATTCAACATGACCGTTTTGTCATGGCAAATGTTCAAGCAAATTGTTAGTACAACTGTATGGAAGATAAAAATCTGTGTTATTGGCGCTTAATTATCCAGAGGGCTCGTTTTGATACCTGTAGGTGGCTACACGTCAGAATCAGACGTCTTGAATGGTGCCTCTTCTTATATAGTCATAATGGCTGGAACATGCAATCTCTTTTGGAGGAATATAATAATCTGTTCCAAAGCAATAGGATGCTGTTATGTAGTCAAGGTCGGTTATTATAACTGGGGTCGACCTGTGTAATTCCCGTGTACGTCGGATTTGTGATTGCGAAATCTAATATAACGCTCCAAACGAGGGACAGTTTGTCGAAATTTGCTGCAGTACTCGTCATGTGTAGAAGTTGGGGCTTCTCCAGCATTTCTTTTGAGGGAGGCAGAGAGGATGAACATTCTAGTAAAGACTAGATCTGGGACAACCGTCACGCAACATAACGCCTGTCAGATCCGTTCATAGGAATGTACCGTGCGTCATTACTCGTTTAAAAAACAATGAAAATTGAAGTCTGGCAAAGAGACCCAGCACACAGTGTATGTATATGTTTGTGGATGGAGTTCAGCACCAAGGAGAGGGTGGTGGGACAGTGCATGTGTGTGTGGATGGCGTTCAGCACCAAGGAGAGGGTAGTGGGACCTCTCCGTGTATGTGTGTGGATGGCGTTCAGCACCAAGGAGAGGGTAGTTGGACAGTGTATGTGTGTGGATGGCGTTCAGCACCAAGGAGAGGGTAGTTGGACAGTGTATGTGTGTGGATGGCGTTCAGCACCAAGGAGAGGGTAGTGGGACAGTGTATGTGTGTGTGTGGATGGCGTTCAGCACCAAGGACAGGGTGGTGGGACAGTGCATGTGTGTGGAAGGCGTTCAGCACCAAGGAGAGGATAGTGGGACAGTACATGTGTGTGGATGGCGTTCAGCACCAAGGAGAGGGTAGTGGGACAGTGCATGTGTGTGGATGACGGGACGGTATTTGATCATTGTGTCCTGGGGACACGTGAGGACGGTGGTTTACACGTGGCACCAGGGACAGTGTGGGTTGTCGTCTACATGTGGTGACAACGGTTCAGCACCAGGGACAGAATAAAGGGACAATATACTAGAATCATCGGTGTTGTACAGTAATAAGTATCTACCGTGCAGCCAGACCGTCATGTTTGCGTTCACTTTAGGTAAGAATACCCCGTGATTTTCCATTACCCAAACATCGCTTCAGGTAAAAGTGCTGGGACGGTGTTTAATGGATGCACTTAAGAATCGGTCGGGACTGCTGCGGTACGTGGACAGAATGGCGAGTGTTCGGTAGGCGCCTTACAGTCCAGTGGGTCTTTCTGGCGTTAGTCTGATGTTGACATCCTCTCCACTGATGTGAAACAGCAACAGCTCTTATATTTGTAACGTTCTCGCGACTAGTGATCGTAAATAATCTCTATATACACGTTATTATTGTCAGCTTGTGGCTATGGTGGCTTCCATTTCCCCTGGGGTTGAGGAAGATGGACTTTTATGGGTGCACTTTTATCCACCAACGTCCCAGAAGAAATTACTTAATGACATTTTCCCTCGTCATTTTCTCCATGATTTTTGTCTCATAAGAGTGTAAATTGAATCACAGCAAGCCCAGAGGGACGGGATGATTCCAAAGTAGAGAAGAAGATGAGTAACCGCATCGCGATGCGTCTCAATTAGCCGTAATTTGTAGTGTCTGAGTCACAGGAACAGGTCGCCTCTGTCAGCACGGCTCTGCTCCGAGATATTAGGATTAGAACGAAACTATTTTAATATCGACTTCCTGTTTGGGTCTTCGAAATCGTTATTCATCAAGTACTGTTTCTGCTGTATGTAATTCTACAGAATATCATAGGGGGAGCTAGCCTTTACCAGGCTTCGGCAGGCGACTGGAAATAGTAGAATTTGGCCAAACAGAGAATGATAACATGCCAGAGAAGTTGGTCCGCTAGAGAGTATAGTTTGTCACTGTACTCTCTAGCGGACCAACTCCCCCGGCATGGTATCTCTTACTATTTGGCCAAATCCTGTTCTTTCCAGTCGCCTCCCGAAGCCTGGTAGATGCTACAAAGTTTTAATACAAGATCAAAAATGCTTCGCTCTTAGCCTCTACCAGGTTTCGAAAGGCTACTGGAAAGAGTAGAAATTTGCCAAATACAGAGAGATAACATGTCGGGGGAGTCGGGCTGGAGAGTACAGTTTGCATCATGACGTCACAAATGCACATTCTGATTTATTACAGGCACAATCCTTACACTGGGTATGACAAAATCTGCCTTGAAATCAGATACACAGGCATATCTTTGGCTAACGATTAACTGAAATAAGATTTTAGGACGAGTTGATAAATGGCTTTTTTTCCAACTCCAAGTCTGACATGTCAATTTATTTGCCACAAGCACAGCTGCTACCTTTGCAATATAATCCAGCGGATTGAAACAGACTCAAATCTAGGGCATTAGATTCCAAATTCTGACAGTTTAATCGGACAAAAGCACGCCGTCATACAGAAGCTTATTTGTGAAAATTTTGTTGGTAACAGATATAATCTGGCTGGTAATTAACCCGTTGAGATTGTCTCCGTAATTAGATTACCAGCTTCATGTTAATTACTAGTAGACCGGGCCGTTTGCACACCTATGTAAAAAAACACGTTTGGTATGGTCCATCAAAGATGGCGCTTTCGAACGACAGGCTACTTTTTCGAGTTAATGTCGTAGACCTCACTACTCTTCCCCACACCCCACTCTACGGTAGGTCTACGAGTGGGGTGTGGGGAAGATCAGGGAGGTCTACGAGTGGGGTGTGGGGAAGAGCAGGTAGGTCTACGAGTGGGGTGTGGGGAAGAGCAGGTAGGTCTACGAGTGGGGTGTGGGGAAGAGCAGGGAGGTCTACGAGTGGGGTGTGGGGAAGAGCAGGGAGGTCTACCAGTGGGGTGTGGGGAAGAGCAGGGAGGTCTACCAGTGGGGTGTGGGGAAGAGCAGGGAGGTCTACGAGTGGGGTGTGGGGAAGAGCACGGAGGTCTACGAGTGGGGTGTGGGGAAGAGCACGGAGGTCTACCAGTGGGGAAGGAGCGCACCCGAGTTCTTCCGCGACCGGGGTCCGTGATAGTCCGCGGTAAAATAAAGTGCCAAAAGGTTTTTTAGGAGTAAAGTTTGAGTTAACATTTCTCCTAATCTGCTTTTAAATGATATTAGATACTAGTATGGCTGAAAAGTAATAATAGAAGTTTTGTTTTTTCGGTTGAAGATTTATTTTTGCCTGGATTCTCACTTCCGGGTATCCTTGCGGCCGAAGCGTGATCCGCCCATTTGACCCACATTGTCCCCTCAGTCCTGGTGTGGGCGGATTTTGGACCATTTGCGTCGTGGATGATTAAAATAAACTGCAGCATTTTATATTGAAGTAAATGTATATTTTAGAAACACCCCTGATTTCTATAATCGTGTGGAATAGGCCATACCTGTTTGGTTGGCGAGGTGCGTTTTGAGTATCTATTTGTAACAAACAGTCCCTGTTGCCAGCTGCTGGCCGCTGAATTACTATTTTTACATCAAGAAGCATAGAATTTGATCAAACCAGAGAAAATGACAATCAGATTTCAGGTCATGGACCGTGCTTTGGCGACATCTAGCGGTATATACACAAAGTGCAGTATTCACAGGTTGCATAAACGGTTTGAAAGCGCACCTATGCGATCCGTATACAAAATACAGACGGGGTCACATGAACCCTGCTTCGACGGATTCCGGCTTCAATGCGCTCTTACGAGCTTAATGTGAAGAAGTGATTAGAGGACCACACAGCAGCGCACCTAGTGGTTGCTTTAAGTAGTCTAACATAACACTGGATGGAACAATTGCTTTCGAAATTTTCGATGTTGTTCTCCATTTCTTCGCCCCTAGTGTTGCAGAAATCAAAAAAAGTCCTACAACCTGAACTCACACGAATTTGGAGATGGGTAGAAACCAACAGACTGGTCCTTAATGTGGGGAAAACTAAATCTATCCTCATCGGAAGCCACCATAAACTGAAACAAAAACCTGAATTAAACCTCAGCGTGGCAGGCAAACATATCACTCAGGTGAGTCAAGCAGACCTACTGGGGTTTACCGTTGACCAGCACCTGTCCTGGGGACAACATGTTAGGAAGGTTAAGAATAAAATGGCAAGCACTATAGC